TCCTTGCAGGCTCCGGTGATGCATTCCATCAGCAACCAGGAGCCCCGGGTGGTTCTCACGGTGGAGGGAAATCTCATAGATTTCCTCTTGGATACCGGAGCCACATTCTCCGTCCTTCCATCTGGCCTGGGGGGCCCCCTCTCTTCTCAAACTGTGACCGTAAGGGTGTGTCGGGAATTCCCCAAGTAAGGCGCTTTACTAAATCTTTGAGCTGTGTCTGGAATGATCTGATGTTCACTCATTCCTTCCTGATTATACCAGAGAGTCCTGCACCCCTACTAGGTAGGGATCTTCTAGCTCAGATGAAGACTACAGTACTTATAGGGCCAGGAGAGACATTATGCCTTCCTCTAGTAGAGACAGAAATTAATCCAGAAGTTTGGAGTGTACAAGGGAAAATTGGTCGAGCTCTAACTGCACAGCCTGTTCAGATTCACCTTAAAGATGCATCTTCCTTTCCAAATCAGCGACAGTATCCCTTAAAGCCTGAGACATGGAAAGGATTGATAGCCATAGTAAGCAATCTCCGGGAACAGGGACTTCTGAAGCCCTGCAATAGTCCCTGCAACACTCCTATCCTAGGGGTTCAGAAGGCAAGTGGAGAATGGAGACTAGTACAGGACCTTCGTCTCATTAATGAAGCTGTAGTGCCCTTACATCCAGTGGTCCCTAATCCTTATACTTTACTCTCACAGATCCCAGAGGGGACAGCTTGGTTTACAGTGCTAGACCTTAAGGATGCTTTCTTTTGTATCCCTCTCCACCCTGAGTCTCAATTTCTGTTTGCTTTTGAGGACCCCCACACCCAGTCCTCACAATTAACATGGAATGTCCTCCCACAGGGTTTCCGAGACAGCCCTTATCTTTTTGGACAAGCTTTGTCCAGAGACTTACTAGAATTTTCTTATCCCCAGATAGTTGTCCTACAATATGTAGATGACCCCCTCCTTTGCGCCCAGACGGAGGAAGACTCCCAGAAAGGGACTGTAGCTCTCCTTAACTTCTTAGCTGAGCGAGGCCATAAAGTCTCAAAGTCTAAGGCCCAACTGTGCCAGCCTTCTGTAAAATATTTGGGTCTGACTATATCTGAGGGAAAGCGGGAACTAGGAGAGGACAGAATCAAGCCTATAGTAAACTTTCCTCTCCCCACAACCCTCAAACAACTAAGGGGTTTTCCAGGAGTGACTGGGTTTTGTCGGCTCTGGATACCAGGGTATGGAGAACTAGCTCGTCCCTTATACCAATTAATGAAGGATACACAGACGGCTGGAACTCATATTCTAATATGGACTCCAGAGTCTCAGAGGGCCTTTGCACAGTTAAAAGAGTCCCTTCTTAAGGCCCCTGCTCTGAGTCTCCCCACGGGCAAGATTTTTAACCTATATGTAACTGAGAGAAAAGGAATGGCATTAGGTGTCCTAACCCAGCTAAAAGGACCTGCTCAACAACCTATAGGATATCTCAGTAAGGAACTAGACTTAGTGGCAAAAGGGTGGCCAGCCTGTCTCCGGACTGTCGCCGCAACTGCCCTCTTAATACCTGAAGCTACTAAACTCACCTTGGGACAGGATCTGGTAGTATATTCACCCCATAATGTGACAGGATTACTGGCTTCAAAAGGAAATCTATGGCTAACAGATAATCGTCTTTTAAAGTATCAGACTTTACTGTTAGAGGGCCCAGCAGTTCAGATTAAAACCTGCTCATCTCTCAACCCCGCCACTTTCCTCCCAGAAGAGACAGGAACTCCTGAGCACGACTGTGAACAGGTAGTCCTACAGACGTATGCAGCCAGAGAGGACCTTAGGGAAACACCCCTGGAAAATCCAGACTGGGTTCTCTTTACAGATGGCAGTTCCTTTGTGGAACACGGAGTTCGCAGGGCTGGGTATGCAGTTGTTACCTTAGCAGAAACTATTGAGAGTTCACCGTTGCCCCCAGGTACTAGTGCCCAGCTAGCCGAGCTAATAGCCTTGACTCGGGCTTTAGAACTTAGTAAGGACAAGAGAGCCAATATATTTACTGATTCTAAATATGCCTATTTAGTCTTGCATGCACATGCTGCTATTTGGAGGGAAAGACATTTTCTCACAGCCAATGGGACTCAAATCAAGTACCATAAGGAAATAGATCGTTTACTGACCTCAGTGTTTCTTCCCTGTGAGGTAGCAGTTATACACTGTAAGGGACACCAGAAAGGAACAGATGATATAGCAGAGGGAAACAGATTGGCAGATTTGGCCGCTCGGGAAGCAGCGAGAAAGACTCTTTTTGAGGCAACAGAGGCTCCTTTAATCTGGGAAGGGATGCCACCTGAAATTCAGCCTCAGTATACACCTGAAGAAACTCAGTGGGCTCTTAGTCGAGGATATAGCCTTCAGCCTAACGGATGGCTCCAGTCGGAGGAGGGAAAGATTCATCTCCCTGCCTCAAGCCAATGGAAGGTTCTTAAAGCCCTTCATCAGGTTTTTCATCTAGGGCGAGATAAGACTTTACAGATGGCCCAACAGCTGTTTACTGGAAAGAACTTCCCCAAGACAGTCAAGCAGGTTTTAGGGGCCTGCGAATTGTGCCTCAGGAACAACCCTAAGAACTTTAAGCTCCCACTCTCTGGGATACAGAGAAGGGGAAGTTATCCAGGGGAAGACTGGCAATTAGACTTTACTCATATGCCCAAGGCCAGGAGTGTCCAATATCTACTAGTCTGCATGGACACCTTCACTGACTGGGTAGAGGCATTTCCCTGCAGGACTGAGAAGGCCACTGAAGTAATTAGAATTCTTCTCTCAGAAATCATTCCAAGATTTGGACTCCCAAAGAGTATACAGAGTGATAATGGACCTTCATTCAAGGCAGCTGTTACGCAGGGAGTGTCCAAGGCTTTGGGCATACAATACAATCTCCACTGTGCATGGCGTCCCCAGTCTTCAGGCAAGGTAGAAAAAACCAATGAGATCCTTAAACGCCATCTGAAGAAATTGTCTCAGGAGACTCATCTCCCGTGGGTAAATCTACTGCCTATGGCTTTAATTCACATCAGAAACACACCCACGAAACTAGGCCTGAGCCCCTTTGAGAAGTTATATGGGAGACCTTTTCTCACTAATGATCTAGTGACAGACCAGGAGACAATGGACCTTACTAGATCAGTGGTTCAATTGGCTAAATTTCAGCAAACTCTTCAGCAACTGCCTGAGAAATTATCTAGAACCATGGGAGTTCCTAAATTTAACCCAGGGGACCTAGTATTAATAAAGACCTTTCCCACTAACTCTCCCTCTCTCTCTGAGTCCTGGGAAGGCCCCTTCACTGTAATTTTGTCCACCCCTTCCGCTGTAAAGGTCTCGGGCCACGAAGCCTGGATTCATCACACCAGAGTCAAGGCCTGGAACTCTGAACCTCCAGCAGACCAGTCGGCGGAAGACATTCCTGAAATTGCCACCGATAAAAACTACTCCTGTGAACCTACCCAGGGACTCAGGCTGCTGTTTAAAAGAGCCTCACCTACAGATAAGTAATTTATGATGATCCAGCTCTCACCGATGCGGGGCAGTCCAGTGATGCTACTTGTAATGGCTTCATTACTATTACCTTTTGTCCCAAGTAACACTAAAATAGTCTCTGAGGTCACAGTGACAAGTCCACGCCCAAGTCTAACTGCTAGGGGCACAGACAGGGAGAATATACGAAATCATACAGTGGTTAATTCACTCGCAGCCACTGAAAATTTATGGACTCACCTAGCATTTAATGTACTAAACCAGACTTCCTTTTGTGTACGTGAAGGGACATCTCCGTCAGAAATCTTACAGCAGAACTTAATAGGTCTCGGTACCTCTTTTAAGAGCTTCACAAGAATAACTAACCAGAACATATCCTCTCTACCCGTAGCTAAGAGACCTTTATCTCATCCTATGCCATTGCTGCTTAGTATATATGGTGATTGTATATGCATCTCTTGTAACCAAACAAAAAGGCATAATTGCTCCTCCATAACTTCTGTAGATTATTCGACTGACGTGAGCATGCCGCAGGGCTGGAGCCTCCTCTGTGGCAACATGTCTTTTTCCATAATTCCTAAGTCATATACAGGCCTTTGCTCTGTAGGTCGGGTCGTGTCACTTCTAATCTCCCCAGTGACCGCATCTACACATTCCATACGCTCCAGGCGGTCATTATCCCCAGACTGTGATGATTCTTTAACTTTATATACCATAACTAGTACAGTATTTAAGGCTTTATTTTTTCCAGGTGCTGTGGTATCCACCCAGGAACAGATAGAAATAAATGAATTGGCTTGTATATTAGAAAAAACGGCCAATGCCACTGCTAGGGCCTTATCCTATCTTAATGATGAGATAAATGAGGTCCGTACGGGAGTCCTACAAAATCGGGCTGCCATTGACTACTTATTGCTAAAGAATCAAATAGGATGTGAGAAACTCCCAGGTATGTGCTGCTTTAATCTAACTGACAATTCTAATCTAGTAGAAAGGGAAATTGACAAGTTACATGAAGAAGTAAACAAGATACATCTGTCATCAAATGTTTTCCTTGGAAACTGGGAAAAATTCTCTGCACATTGGGAGTGGTATTCTTGGGTATCACCTTTTTTAAGCATAATAGGAATAATTGTTCTTTTACTCCTGTTTGGACCATGCATACTAAAATGCTTTACTCGTTTTGTGTTATCTAGAATCCAACAAGGGGCAGAAGTGTTCCAGGCACCTCTGGTGACTTCTACAACTTATTACCGGGGACCCTTAGACCGACCCCCAGAAGAATACCCAACTGCTGCCTTTGAACTACGCCCCCTGTCAGCAGGAAGCAGTTAAGAGCGGTCGTCGTCCCAATCCCCTAACAGCAGTTAGGGTCACTTCTTCTGGGGGGCGGAATGAGAGAGGAGTTAGAGTGGGTAGTAGGCAGTTAGGGTATTCTGGGTCTCTGAGTAAAAGAGAATTTCCCCACCATGTCTTGAACTCACCAGAGCACGTCTCTCCCAGGGACAGGGGTGCTATTAGCATATCAATCCCCCACCAGAAGTATCAGCCATTACCTCCGGCCACTGTGGGAGGGCCGCAGGCCGATCTCTTTATCATTGAAAAGAGAACAGGAAAAAGTAATACACATCTGCCTAAGGCCTGGAATGTCCCATGTCTGGCACCTCTCTGGTCTCTTGCCCCAAAACCAGATACCTGGGGACCAGGAAATTCCTTTGTCCTTAGAAACCCCCCCCTTCCGAAATAAAGCCTTAAAAGATCCCAACACTTCCCCTGCACGGGTCCTTTCTATCTCAAAACCCCCTCCCGTCGCTAGGACAGGAGTCTTCTTCTCTCAGCCTTTCTAATAAATCCTGCTTTAAAACTAAACTGTGTCCGCATGAAAATTCTTCTTTCCTGCGAGACAAGAATTTGAGGTTGCTCAGAGTCAAAAATCCTGCAACAAAACTAATGTATATCACTGTAAATATTAAAAGAAAAAAATAAGAAAGGAAAGAGGAGGGAGGGTGGAACCATGGACCAAAGGGTAGGTAGGGTGAGAAAGGTCCATTATGCTCTTAAATCTGCATAAATGAAATTTGTTCACATTATATTGATAACATTTTTAAAGGAGCAAAAAAGAAATACTCCCCAAAACATAGTACAATAAAATGTATTGATTTGGGGAGGTGATCTTAGGAAACTTAAATCCTTTTTATTTCTGAAAAATAGCACAACTTTTTATACTTTGCCACTTTCAGGGGTCTCAAATCAGATGAAAGTCCAGAACAGAAAGTGGCTCAAATCCTCTTCAGTTAGCACAAGTTCTCTCTGTTCCTCTCTTGATGTTACAGAGAATTTATCTTTTGTACCTCAAAAAAAAAAAAAAAAGACAGAAAGAAAAACTGAGACAATAACACAAGGCTCTCAACACACCCTGAACTCCTGAGAGGAGCGCATGTGTTGACTGCTTGCTTCTCATTCTTGGTTTGTCTCATCAGGGGTTTTCAAAGGATACACCAGACTTCCAGCATAGCAATTACGTGGTACAAGAAGAAAACATTAGGACCAAACTCAGTAATTCAGATTCCAGTGCTGACTCCCCTGCTTACAACCACATCATGTCTGGTAAATATCACTCAACTTCTCTGAATCTCAGCCTCCTTTTCTGCAAAATGGGCTTCTGAAAGGCTGGTGTAATGTCTCAACAAGCTAATCATCCACCTTGAAGCACCCACATCTTATGTGGGCACCAGTTCCTGTCCCAGCTGCTCTACTTATGATCCAGCTCCCTGCCTGGGGCCTGGGAAAACAGGAGAGGTGGGTCCAGTGCCTCGGGACCCTGCACCTGAGCGGGAGACCGAGAAGAAGCTCCTGACTCAGGCTTGCCTCAGCTCCCACTACTATGGCCAGTTGGGGACTGAACAACTAGATGGGAGATCTTTCTGTCAGTATCTCCTTCTCTCTATAACATTGCCCTTCCAATAAGGAAAAAAAAAAAAAAAAACCTCTTTAAAGGAAGAGAGGGGTGGGCTGGGGCTTGTGAGGTTTTGTGTCCTGCCCCATCAGCATGTGACTGGTTTTTTGTAAATATGAGAGGACACTACCGGAAGATCAGGTACTATTGCTGTATACTGTTTGTGTGGTATGTGTTCATTTCTATAAAACTGAATATTGAGCAATATTTCATTTAATAAACAGTTGTAAAATGCCAACAATAGATTTTGTATGAGTTTAGTAATGCATTTAGAATGTTTACTGAATGCCCTCTATATACCATTTATAAGAAATAAATACAGGGCCCGGCGCGGTGGCGCAAGTGGTTAAGGTCCTCGCCTTGCACGCCCAGGATCCCATATGGGTGCCGGTTCTAATCCCGGCAGCCCCGCTTCCCTTCCAGCTCCCTGCCCGGGAAAGCAGTTGAGGATGGCCCAAAGCTTTGGGACCCTGCACCCGCGTGGGAGACCCGGAAGAGGCTCCTGGCTTAGGATCGGCATAGCATCGACCATTGCGCTCACTTGGGGAGTGAATCATCGGACGGAAGACCTTCCTCTCTGTCTCTCCTCTCTGTATATCCGCCTTTCCAATAAAAAAAAAAATAAATCTTTAAAAAAACAAAAGAAATAAATACAGTGATAGTTAATTTTTTTTAATTTATTTTTTTATTCGAAAGTCAGATATAAGTCAGATAAACAGAGAGGTGGAGAGACAGAGAGACAGAGCTTCCATCCATTGATTCATTTCCCGCAACAGCCAGAACTGAGCCAATCTGAAGCCAGGAGCCCGCCGAAGCCTCTGCTGAGTCTCCCACATGAGTGCAGGGTCCCAAGGCTTTAGGCTGTCCTTGACTGCTTTCCCAGTCTACAAGCAGGGAGCTGGATGGGAAGCGGGGCCACCAGGATTAGAACTGGCACCCATATGGGATCCTGGCACATGCAAGGGGAGGACTTTAGCCACTAGGCTTCCATGCCTGGCCCAGGTAGTTAATCTTTAAAATGACTTGATAACCCTGCTATATAGTCAAGATTGTCCTCATTGGAGAGAACAAACCCACAGGACTATCAGTTCAGTATGTTTTGTATTCCTTTTGCATGAAAGTTCTAAACTGTAGCCAGGAATATTATTCTCATTTTACAAATGGAAATGATATTCCTCAGGCTCAGAAATTGAGATTCCCAAAGTCAACTAGGGTTGGTAACAAATGCAGTTTCCTCCAGTCCACGTCCTCCATCAATGCTCCCATTAACCTCACCCTCACACACACACCATCCAGCACTGCTCTGAGACAGCTCCTGGGAATTCTCTTTAATCTGTAGGGAAACTGAGGTTGAATAAGTTAATAGCAGCTGCTCTAACTGTTCCAGGCACTAAGAGCAGGTGCCAGGATTGCAGTCAGAACTGCTGAAACCAAGCTGCTGTCTCCTCTACAAGAGCATAAAAAGATCTATGCCAAACAATTGAACCATGCCTCCTCCATATAAACAGATGTAAAATAAATCATTTTGCATTTTATAACTTTCATGTTCATTTCCTCTTCCTCACTAAGAAAACCTTTATCAATTCTTTCATCTGTTTTAATTGATTTCCAAAATTTTCTTTCCAGAGAAGAAGCATTATATTTTCAATTTTTTTTTCTTTTCTTTTTTCTTCCTTTAGCCAGCCATACTTCCATTGCTAAAAGGTCAAGGATTATCTACCTTAACAATGTCAGGTCTTTGATAAATTTGATTTAGGAAGACAGCTGCAGCATAAGGATGAATTGACAAGAACTCTTTATTGAAGTTCAAATAGAAAAACTGTACCACTGCAGAAATTCAAGATTGTAGCCAACCTCTTTGTTCACAATGTCCTATGGTGTGGTTGTTCTTTCGTGAACCGTCTCCCTAGGAATCCTTATTTCTTCAAATACCTCCTTTAGGTTCACTGTTGGGGCTTTCATACCTTGTTTCTGCTCAACACAAACTTTCAGTTTCCCTTTTTCTAGTTAGCACCATTGGAAACCAGATGAAGGCAGCTTCTCGCTTTGTGCTGAGAGTTGATCAAGATAAACCGACAAACACAAAGGTTACAGGGATGATATTGTACAGACTATGCTGAGGTCAGGTAACCAGAAACCCAATCACAGGGATTAAGAAAAAAATCAGCACAGATAATCTTCAGCTTCCAATGTTTGCCCAAAAAAGGCTCAGTGCAAGCCTACTTCCTTTGCTCTACATAAAAGAACCTTGTTTCATTTTAGAGCCCTGCATTTTCATGAAATCAGCCATTTGAATCAAAGCCCTTTAAGGATGTCTACCCACTGAGATCTGCTTTGAAAGGTGTCTAATTATCTTGTGATCCCAGGAGCTGCCCGGTAAGCTGTAGGCCTTCGCAAGTTACTTTTTACCTTTCAACATAAGGAAACTGCAATGTAAATACTATTAAGTTATCAGAAAATATTTCACTCATAGCTTAGCCCATAAACATTCCTACTTAACAACAAAGAGTTATTAGGGGATCTACAAAGTAAAATAGCAAGGTTAGAAGGATTGACGTAGTGTCATTTAAACACGGGTTGGATCCAAAATCGGCCACCATTGACCTTGAGTACTCCCTTAACTACTGTGTGGCTCAGTTTAGTTTCACCAAACCAAAGAGTGAAACAACTGTCCACAGTGCATGGTATAATAGATTACTGTGAAGATTAAAGAATATATATAATATACCTAGTGTTGGCTGAGGCAGCAAATATGAGTCCATTTAATAACAACGCTTGGGTTCTTTATGGTATATATGTGACTCCCACATCTTTTTGAAAGTAAATTGCAGAAAAAATTCTCCCATAGACATCACCAATAGGAAATGGCAAGCCAACACAAATCAGGTGTGAAACAGTCTTTAAATTTGTATTAAATTATAGCTCTTGTAAAGTGCTCTCTTTAGCATGAAATATTCACTCAAGACAAACAACACTAGAAATTCTCACACATCATAAGTTGGACTCACACTGTCAGAGTTTAAAACCCTAGTTCAAAGTTTTAAGGCTCCTTGACTTCTTATACTCTGCTCATGTTGGTGCATCTAAAAATATTTCAGCCAGTAAATACATCCCTTTAATTATCATTGAGAGTTCTCTTCTATTCTAGTCAAAACCCACTATTTTCAGGGCCAGCACCATGGTGTAACAGGCATAGCCTCTTCCCTGGTGCCAGTATCCCATCTGGATGTTAGTTGGAGTCCTACTGCTTCACTTTGGATCCAACTCCCTGCTAATGTGCTAGGAAAGCAGCACAAGATGAGTCAAGTCCTTGGACCTCTACACCCACATGGGAGACCTGGAAAGAGCTTCCAGCTCCCAACTACAGACCAGCACAGCTCTGGCTGCTAGGACCATAGAGGGGTAAGACCTTTCTCATTATCTTCCCTTCTTTCTCTCTGCAACTTTATCTTTCCAAGTTAAAAAAAATCTATTTTTTTCTCTTAAATGACAATTTTCTAGATGTACCATTTATAACCATCATTTAGCATTCTTATTTGTAACATTTTTCTACAC